AAACAAAGATTATAAAATTGTGAAAATTTGCAATTAAGGACAGCTTAATGCCATTGATGTTTATTATGCATTTCACAAGACTATTATCTTCTGCAAGTATATTCAAGGTGTGCTATATATCAATTACCAGTAGCATTGTATTTGCCAATACAAACAGAATGTAACCAACAGTCCTTTAATCATATAATTACATGAATGTTTAAATTGGTTCATGTGTCATGCTTACTGGTTATGATAAATATCTTTTCATATGATCAAAGATCATTTAAAATTAAATCTTAAATAATTTAGTTTAGAAATTATAATAATCATCAGAAAAATTACCTAGTGATCATGAAAAATACTTTATTGTTTTCCCAAATTTCAAGGTTTATCTGCATACCTAGGAACACATTTTTACTTCAGAGAAAATTTATTTCATACATCAATAGCCCTTAGGAGTTTCTGGCAAACAATGTGGTATGAGCCATAGTTCAACACACCTAGACATCTCTACATGAGGTGTTCAGTTACAAAAGGGGTCAATATGTGATATGGGGCAACAATTCATGTATGTGAAATACACAGGTTTAAAACCATTCCAGTCAAATCGTCAAAATAAAAAGCTTTGTGGATCAGAAAGACTCATAACCACAGTTTATAGTAAATGTGTATTATAACTATCCAATGATTGAATGATCAATGATCATAAACTGAACAGCCCCAAATATTTGTATTAATATGGTAAATAATAGCATGGCACCTTATGGCTTCAGATTTTTTGTCCATTGAAAAACATTTGAAGGAAGGTAGAATTTTGCTGCCATAAAACGGCCAAGATTCCCCAAGCACTAAAGAAATAATAGCTAAAAGTCCTTCGGCAACAACAATTCTAGAAGCATCTATCTGCTTATCATACGCCATATTGACATACATCGCATCACACACTCGCATAAATTTACTTTAATAATTTACAGTCATGCATGCACTTCAGTTGTCCTTTACTTACGATTTTGGATGTAAATTTCTGCTGAGATAACTCTAAATAATGATGGCTTGCTTTTGAACATCAATGATTGAAATGTCTCTCGCGAGATCGTCTTTGCCAAGCATTTAATTACAATTCATCAATGAATTGTTCACCCTCTTGAAAAAATTCACAGCCTGGACAGCAGCATTCACTTCGATTTATGAGTTTGTGAAGATTTCCCTAAATGCCCTCTGATTGTAGTTTATATCAGGCTTTAGAAAATTACTATGAAACGATCAAACATTCAATTCAGACAGTGAGCTTGACTATGTTAGTTCAGTTGCCTATCAGTCGAAATCGGTCAAACCAATCATAGTAAGACAAAAATTTAAACGTACCAATTACACGATAGCAATTGGACTTCCTTATCGGTCTGGCCACCCCGCTTATCGGTCGAGATTATTCCAGATCGTCCACTGATCTGGCTATTCACCTATGGAATGGCTTAAATAAGCATTCCTGAACTCTGTTATGGTTGAGCCAGTCGAGCCACCAGCTTATCAGTCAGCCAGTTAATATAATTCTAGACATGTTAAAATCTTCTGATCTGTTTACTAAGGTGGTATTTATATAAGTTTTCATTTATGAAACAGAATTTTGACGATGAAATCCAAACGATTACAGAACGGGAATTGAATGATCACAAAAAATTGTAACCATTAATTTTGATAAATAATTTTTGAACTATGTAAACATCAGTCGCCGTGACTGATTTGACATACCTTAGATCCGCCCCTGGCGTCACATGGGAAAGTACCCAGTTGTTTTTTTTCGTCACAGTTTAGTGGCTGGTAGAAATACTTATTACCGTCATTTTCTTTTCTGGCATTCACGTTATCAATTATGTTATATCGTTTTTTACTTGTTTCGGGTTTTCTTGTACAATTTTCATGCTATATTTCCAAAGCAAATCCATACCTCTTGAATACATCATGTACATCATCTCGAATGTCATAATCTTCGTCAAGAAATTTATTTTAAATATCCACCAATCTTGATGTATAGTCAGCATCAGTTTCTAGACGGATGTAAGAAGCATGGATGTTACACATTTTGACTCCGACTTATGCAAGAAGATATTCGTACTGTTTTTGAACACGAGAAAATAAAGTTATTATTTCCAGCCAACAAAAAACAAACGTCGTAATAACAATATTCGAAACTAACTAAAGTGGTCTAAATGAAGCTGTCTTGGTGGAGTACAAAAAATTGCATTGTTGAAAATTTTGGAAATTTAATATCAAATTCTCTAAAGTAATTCAATTAATTTTTTTTCTTAATGTAGTTACTATCAAGGTTAAGATTTTCTACAGAAAACATTAGGGGAGAGAAAAAGAAGTGGAGAGATAAATTTTGAAGTATTAAAGTTGTTATAGAATATATTTCGTTTTTGCCAATTTTATTTCTTGCCTTTATCTCACTGTCGTAAAAACCTTTAGTATTTTATCTACGTAGACAATATCGTCTTTCACAATTTAGATGGGAAATGAAGAGCAAATTCTATCATGAGTTGTTTTATTTACGAAAATAATATGTTAACCTAGGGTTATGTTCTAATTCAGAGGGCTTTACAAACTTCCGACAATAAATAGTTAAATTGCACAAAACAGTTTAGTTTTAATTCAGTTCTCGCATCAATCATAGTTTACATATATTGCAAATAAAATAATAATAAATTATAATAACGTACTTTCCATGCAGAAACATCTATTAAAACAAATTCCATGCAGCATTTAAAAAATTTATTTCTGACAAAACATTTTCATAAAATTAGAACAAAAATGCTTGTTCAAATTGACCTATCGTTTGCGATTATCCCTTTCTCGATAACATTTCTGCATTCAAAAAGGTTACAATCATCTCAAGGTATTGACGCAATGACCAATCTTTTGTTTTCAATCCTCAAACCAAGATGTCAGCAAACTAAAACCGACTTCTTTATATTTAAGCGCAGTTAATGAAGAATATATAAAGATTGCAGCAAAAAATGTAAAATATACATTGGTAGTTGCATAACAAAAACCGCAGGGTTTAAAAAACTTAGTTCAAGAGACAAAGAGTCACGTTCATCAAAACGTGATGCTTTGTCCACTGAAACAAAGAAAGTTCCACATCTTGGTTTGCATGATTAGGACACAGTTTCATAATAAAGACACATATAGAGCATCACGAATGATATTCTTGCAGGTTTCAAAATAAATAAAATTAATTCAAGAGAGAAAAAGTCATGTTTATTAACAAATCATGACAACGCGACGCCGTTGTCCTTTTATGTAACAAAAGTTTAATATTTTGGCTCGTCTGAATAGGACACAAATATAAACATACATAGAAAGCATCATTAATGTTCTCGCACGTATCAAAATTAATCATACAAAACTTTGCTTATTTGTAATTAACAATTCAATACATCCTAAAACAGATGCATGGCTTACAAAAATCTCAGGAAAACTAAGAAATTTGGTACTCATTTGCTTTTAGAATCATCGATTTTAGAAGCGCTTGTTTAAGAGCTTGTTCGGTTGGGGAATCATTATGACATCTTATTAGCTATACCCTTCATCATTATAATGATGAGAATGACAAATAATTTCTGGTCGAAGAGAAAGTCTGTTTAACGAAGCATAAAATAAATAAGTCAGAGGGTTTTATACTGACCAAAGCCGGGAGAACTGTTTTATTGTACAAATAAAGGTACTGTTATGTTGAATCATTAAGAGAATTTACACATATATACTTTTATGATTGCTTTACCATTATGTTGCTTAAGTCAAATGTATTATTTGTCTTTGTATCACAAGGAAGACTCTCCTCTAACACTGATGGTGGAAGCGTAGCTACTTTTTGTGTTATATAAAGCGTTTGCCGCACGGGCATTGCGTGGATAACTCGATGCAACGGCGTAACTCATTGTTGCTGCTAAGCAGAACTCGAAAATCCTCAAAAAATTGTTTACGATGAGCCATGTCCAAGGTTCTAGAAAAAATGTATCGCCATTGACAGATCTAATCACCAGAACTATTGTGTAACTATAGGACAGAGCAGAGAGCACACCAAATACGGCCGTCAAGAGTGTAATTCTTAAGATTTTTTTCCTTGCCGTTAGACCATTTGGTGATACGCGGTGGTGAGCTTTGGAGTCGTCAAATTTATGAAGCGATTTCCGAATTGTTCTCTCTTTTTTTAGCACACGCCTTCCACTGATAAGTAAACAAAGTGCGGTGGTCAAACATCCAAAGAAGTAATAAAAGGCACAAAAAACCAACAGCACTTCCACGTCTTTAACATATCTTGTGAGAAATTCCACAGAAATCACCGCAAGAAAATGCAAGACAAGAATTACAGTGACCACTCTGCTTCCGATCGGATTTTTCTTCATAACCTGAACTTTGCTGAGTAACATAAAAATCTTGTACATAAATGTGAACCCAGAAAAAAGGCAAGGATAGCCAAGGGCAAACAGCAAGCGAGGCACAATGTACGGAACGCGTTTTGGTGTGTTGCTCATGATATCGTAAGGCGAAATACTTAAAGACAGCGTTCTAGTCAATCCGAGTAATATGACAAGAACTTGTACAATACTGATGTAGTTCTTCCTCGTCGTGCTCTTCAGGCGGAATGTCTTGTATAACTGATAGCCATTATACAATGCTAAAAGACTAAAACATATCGAAAACGTTATCCAGTGAACTTTGAATAAAATCAACCAGGCATCGCCGACGGAATTGAGATCGATTCTTGGCTCTGCATTGGGGTAGGAAACATCCTCGTCTATTTCACTCGAACTATTACCGTCGGAGTGAATCACTGCCTCAGGAGAAACCATTTTATCATTTGACTAAAACTTGCCGGTTCTCATCAACAATACTTCCAAAACAGCTGGTCACAAGAATGCAACGTTAATTTTATAGTGTATGTCGTGTGTGTCTTCACGTGTATGTCGAAAATGCAGACAAAACTGAACTCAGTATCACCGATATAGAGTTACAATATGAAAAAGTAGTGTTGTGAGCACAACTTCTAACTGAAGTGAATTTACCAATACACAAATAAATTCTTCTTTTATTCCACTTGCAATGTTGACATTTGACATGCAAATGACGTTTTCACGTAGGTTTTTTTAAGTTATTATTTAACACACAGCTTGGGTTCGAGAGCTTTACCGTGTATTAAAGGAAAAATTTAAGAGGTGCATTCATTGCAAGTACGGCATATAACGTTTCTAAAGAAACTTGCTTGAACATTGATGTTTGTATTAGCGCATTTTCCCAAATCCGAAATACTTGACGAATTTCCAACAACGAACATTCAAATCGCACAGAACAAAAACTAATTTTCTCGCATCAATTATACATAACGCACAAATGAACATAGCTAATTATGAAATTACAAAAACGTAGTTTACAGAAGGATCGAACAAAATCCCTGCAGTTTTAAAATTGATTTCTGCAAGATCAGAACAAAAATAATTTTTCTTAATTACCTGTCGTTTGTGATCATCTCTTGCTTGGAAAATCTAGCTAGATACTTCAAAATACTTACAGTCTGCAATCCCAAGGTATATGAACGCTGTGACCAATATTTTATTTTCAACGTCAAACCAAAAAGCGAGCAAAATAAAACTTATTTCTATCGCATTCAACTCAGTCAATAAAGGATATAACAATTCGACTGCAGCACAATATATATATATATACGTTAATTATTGGCTGCGACTGAGAGGTCCAAACTGAAAACATATTTTTTAATTACGGACTCCTTCGCAACTCTATTTTAAGTTGTATTGCTGATCTCGAAGGAAGTCCAAATCGGGATTTTTGCGTTTTTCGTATTGATTCTCTTTACCATACTACGTTGCGATTTGCTGAATTACTCGAGCTTGAAGAGGCTGTTCTGCAGTTAATCTCAAACTCAAATAAACTTTTAAATGTCGATGTTCATCATGATATTAATCCATCTTCTTCATTGAACTGCTCTCAAGTTTTAAGTGGCACACCAGGGTGACCAATGTATGAAGTAAACGAAGATCATTTGACTCTGAAGATGACTACAGCTAAGGTTGTCGAAACGTCAGTCAACAACAACAAAAACAGTCCTTCTCACGACTATACCAACCTGGACGATCGACATTTACAAACATGTAATGTTATTAGCCCCTTATCACTTTGGCATGTTGATGGCAATCACAAATTGATTAGGTGGGCTACTAAAAAATACCTATTTTGGAGAGTTAATAAATCTCAGTTTTGCATACAAATGTGCTAATAGTTTCATATTTTTAGATGGAGATTTGTGACTCATGCAGGAATTGACGGCTATTCACGCTTGCTGGTATTTAATCGCTGTAGCACAAATAATCGAGCTGATACTGTTCTAAATCTATTTCTATACAGTGTATCTCAATATGGACTTCCATCCAGAGTAAGAACAGATAAAGGATGTGAAAATGTTGGTATTGCTCAATTTATGTTAAACCACCATTCGCGAGGACCTGGTCGTGGCAGTCATATTACCGGAAGAAGCGTGCACAACCAACGGATTGAGCGCTTTTGGCGACATCTTTTTGTTGGACCTACAAGTATTTTTTATCATTTATTCTATCATATAGAAAGTAATGGAATATTGGATTCATTAAATGAAAAACATGTGTTTTCATTGCATTATGTGTTTTGTCCAATTATTAACACAAATTTGGAAATTTTCCAGGAAGGTTACAATAGATCTCCCATAAGACCAGAAAGAAATCTATCACCTGAACAGCTATGGACCCGAGGATCCTGCTTAGCCAATAATTCAATCAACCATATACAACAGGTATTTTTATGCAATAACTCATGACTTTACTTTTAGACTTCACTTTACATCATAATCATCAGACTAGATCCAAAGCTGATTAATGTATGTTAAAGTCAAAATCTAATTTAATGTTTCAGTTCACTAAGGCAAACCAAGAATTTCCACCCACCTTTACACAAAATTACGCATGTCATGAAACAGATCAGCAGCAAGTGATTGTTCCAGAAACCAACATTCCATTGAATGAAATGGATCTCGATGAGCTGCAAAGAACCATTAATCATTTAACGCCTTCTAATCATAATGGTGCTGACATATACATTGAGGTGCTTCATTTTGTAAATACCAGACTGCACCAAGAAGACGAGTAACATTGTGAACTCACAAAAGAAGAAAAGCTACTTGACCTATTGTTGGTTGGTGTCAATTCAGATAATACAAAACAAGATATGTATGGCAACGAAGGCTATAAATTTTTCATTGTGTTCATCATTCAAACATTTTAGCAGAAAACGTTATTTAGCACATAAATGCTGATGCACTGCCAGAACAAAATTTAATGAAACATTAATATATTTACTTTAAGTCTTTAACTATTAAAATGATATCCAAAACAAAGAACAAAAATATTTTAATTTTGTTCATCATCCATATTAGCTATAACAAGCTATGTTATTGTCGAAAGAGATGTATAAACTGTTCCAAGATCAAATATTGGTAAACCCTCTTAAACCAAATTGCAAAGCTCTATCCAGTTTTGCTTTCAGTTCATCGAAGTTTTCATAACATGGAAGAACAAACAAATGAAAACAAGTTGTTCTTTCTGGCAGCAAATTACGATCTTTTGTTCTGTCAACTTTGAGATGCAGGATTGCACCATTTGCAGGCAATAAATCACACCCAGTCCAAAAAGACAACAGATCTTTACGATTTGCCCCTAGGAATGGACAGGTATTAAAGTATTGATATAACTAGTACCTCAAACAGTCAAACATTTAATATTTTTTTGGAGAAAGCTAAGGTCCAATTTAAAAGCAAGAAAATATTACTGACATTGATATTGTTCAAACAGATGAAGTCACTGCTGCTTCAACATATAATACATAATCAGTTGTGGTGCAAATATTAAAAAGCAAACCATATTCAAACAAAAAAAAACAAATACATAGACTGACTACAACCAATTACAACCTGCATCTACCAAAACACTTACCACTAGTTGTCCCATCAATTAGATCAATGTATTGTTTCAAAAACAACATCAGTTGATTACAATGAAGGTCTTCTTCTTCTTCTTCAATTTCAATAATTCCTTTTAAGTTGTTTTTATTAATAAGAGAAGAAGTTGATTGTGGAAAAAGTTGTGGTTGAACAATATCTCTGTGTTTCTTCAGGAAATCAACCAGTCCAAACTCATTCATTCCATCAGCTAGATCTTGCATCTCTGATTTTCTATGGGTAATGACAGCATGTAACATGATTCGCTGGGCAATAACATGACGATTTGCACCAGAGAATGATGTATCTAAAATCGAAGCTTCATCTCTGTACTGAGTTAAAATATCGTTCAATGCAGTTCCAGGAGCTTCGTCTTTGCCAAGGCTGTTCAAATATGACATAAAACACATGATTAGCTCAAACAAAATACTGAAAGGCAATGCTCAGGTGCAATAAAACTTTTCAAACCTCATTCAATGCAATCCTCAGGTCAATGTCAGTTATATCCACAACTTCTATTAAAGGAATCTCATCTATGTCACATACCAAATAATCAACAACTACTTTAGAAATTCCAAATACTGGTGATCCAGCATGTAGGAAAGAATATGCAATCATTCTTCCAATGCACTGATAGAAGCCTGTACTTCTCAAACGTGAGTTGGTTACAGGAACTTTATGGTCATTTTCTGCTTCAAAAACAAGACTTTTGGGCCTTTCTTCACCATCCAGTGGAAAACCACCAGGAATCATTTTTATTACTAGGCTGAAAAATTCTCGCAAAGGACCACTACCAACTGAAGTTTCATTTTCAAACTTTACACTGAACCAAGCACACAACTTACTACAGTGATTCTTGCAAATTCCCAAAATGTCATTGGCAAAGTTAATTGCCATGCAGTTGACATAAACTCGAAAAACTGGACTGTCACTGACAATTGTAGCATTTCCATACTCTTCAATGACTGTCTTGTTTTGTTCTTAAATAGAAAACCAGTCAAATGGTTATTGTAGCAATACAACACAGTAAGTGTGTGCTAGACTACGCTTACCAATAAATATCACAACTTCTACACCTAAGTACAACATGCAAAAATCACAATAAGCATGTTCAACTTTGTTCATATTGAGCCCAAATTGTGCTGCATAAGCATATTGCGAGTTAAAACAACAAGCTAAAAATCATGCATGAAGCAAAGCATCATTTTTAACCAATCAAGAAAACTATATTAAATCATTTACAACTCGTTTCTTTTGAAAATAATTAAGATAAATGCTGCAATTATGATGCATTTATGAGTGTTTACTAGCATGTATGTAACAATCAATTTCTTTCTACCTTCTTGCAGAAGAATTGTCGTTGTCTGTTGAAGATTTTCTGAATCTGAGTCTGCGCTATCAACAGCACCATAATTAGGCATCTCCTCTTTAAGTAATATTCCTTTGCCTTTATAATTGAAGTAACACGTATAAACACATTAATTCATTCATTATCTGGAGGTAGTTATTAAAAAAATGGAAAATAAAGTATTTGTCTTTTCACACCACCATTCAGCCTCAATGGAGTCTATGCTACGACCAAAATATATTGATAACCCGATAAATGGAACTTGATATAATGATGTAAATACTTACTGTGATCCAACAATGATAAAACTGCCACTTCAATGTCTCACTTAAGAACTCTTACAGCTTCTTCTATGGCAGTATCATGAAGGTCAGAAAACATTTCATGCAGTTCAGACATTAATGGAGTTCCAGAAAATCTGCCTGATAACAAATTATTCATATTATCTGAGATACAAAACTTTTAATTTTCATAATAAGTAGATGAACAAAAACAGTGTGGTATTTTCACAGTAAATGCGTAATAGGAATTAATGCAAGCTTAAAGCATACATTCATCTTGACCTTCTCAAATTGTTTATGGTGATTGTCCATTCCACATTTAACCATATGATTCCTGATTGAATTTATTGGAATCAGCACTGAGCAATTTAGCATTTCACTGTTGGTCCAATAGATATATCCAAGCAAAAACAATGTATGTATACATATAACATTTCCTGTATAATAATTTATCTCTTATATTACTCAAAGCTTTGAATACAGTACCTTGTTTTTTGGAGCTTCTCCTGCGTGAGCGTGATCATCCGTTTCCAAGGATGAGGAATCTAGATCAGCTTGAACTGGTCTAATATATGCAAAAGCCTGCCCTAGGCCAGAACTATCACGAAAGAAAGTGGACAGAATATCCGATATTTGGTGGAGGGGTAATAAGATACAAATCTTTGAGTGATAAACCACTCCTAAATATCTCAAAACCACAGCCTGATACCAGCCGGGAATAGATCTCTTCTAATTTTGCCTTCACTTTGGCTGCACTTGAATCTTTATGGAAAGAAATACGTATACTTCCAAGACCAGCTTTTTGTAATTTAATATTTTCCATTTTAGTAGGCACACAATCTTGCCCATGGTTTGCCAGGCAAAAAAAATCGTGAGTCCAAGTTTCTAGTGGTTTGTAATACCGACCTTGTCCCCACGAATTAGAACGACCACGTTTTGCTGGTGGATGAGAAAACATCTTTCCATTGTTTGCTCGATTATACGGTTCAAGCAACCGCCTAACTCCTGCTCTCTTATCGAACAAGATGATCTTGATGTGGAAGCTTGAGATGACGAAGCCTGTTGTTCTTGCAATGTGCTGTCTAGTGTTGACGATTGGGCACGTTGAGCAGCTCCATGATCGGCAAGATTACCATCTTGAGCAGTCGATGAAGTCTACGACTTGCTGATCCAGACGATTCAGTAAATTTGCAGCTCGGCGAAGTAAAGCTGCTGCCTCTCGATTTTTCGCTCCATTATCATCCCCCATACAAAAAAATTGTTTCTTTTGTACAGAATACTAAAGTTGCTTCGAAGGACAAAGATCGTGATAGTTATTGCATAAAATATTGCAACAGTATAATTTATTGCTATTAACAATTTTTGGCGGTAAATAATTATAAATAAATTATAATGTGATTGAGTAAAATTAGATGTTTGCTAGTCACGAATGATGTAACGTCATCATAGTGGATGTTCAGCAACAAAATGCGTTTTAACAGAAACTGTACAGGACAAAATTCGATTATGAAATTCCAGAATGGAATATGATCAAGACAAAATGCACATTGCAAAGGACAAAATGCGCATTAGTAATTGAAAATATAGCTGTTAATCTTGGCGAAGATTATCCTCCATATCCACAGCAAATCGGATTGCGAGAAGCTAAAAAATATCACTTTGCATGCATGAAAATCAAAGAGCTAGCTAATTGCACAAGCCAATAATAATTTTATTGCTTCTTCACATTAATTTGTACTTTAAATTGTAAATAGTTAAGTTAAACTTAGAGAAACGGTGAGAGGGTAAGAAGAACATTGTAAATAAATACAAAAGTGCGGGGGAAGTTTGTTTCTACTTAGTTTTATTTGCTCGGAACAGCTCGCGTGCTAAGGTCATGAAGTTTAATATATAGTTAATTACCGACGCTGTAATATCTAGTTATAAAAGTTATATCTAGTTATACATACTTTTTTAGTGGCTTTCCCAATATGTTGCTTAAGTGGAATGTATGATTGGTCTTTGTGTCACAGGGACGACTCTCACATAACACTGATGGTGGAGGCGTCACTAATCCTTGAGTTATAAAAAGTTCTTGCCGAACAAATATTGCGTCGATTACTCAATGCAACAGTGTAACTCATAAACGTAATTCGATCATCGTGTTGATAAATGAGATTGAAAATAACTGCAATACTCTTTCTAGAGAGACCTTTACATGCATGACAATAACTTACATGAATTGCAAATTTGTTATGCATGTTATTGGAACAATTCAAACGTTGAAACCTAAATATAGATTAGATTTGAAATATATATTGAAATAGAGATATAGATTAGAGACATAATTACACATATATACTTTTATAAAGGCTTCCCTAATATGATGCTTAAGTGAAATATGTTATTTGTCTTTGAGTCACAGAAAAAATTCAAATATGTTAAGCAACACTGATTGTGGTAGCGTAACTACTTTTTGTGGTATACAAAGTTCTTGCCGAACGAGCATTGGGTCGATAACTCGATGCAACGGCGTAACTCATTGTTGCAGCTAAGCAGAACTCAAAAATTCTCAAAAATATGTTTACGATGAGCCATGTCCAGGGATATGGAAAAAATGCTTCGCCACTGACAGATCTAATCATCAGAACTATTGTGTAAATGTAGAACAGAGCAGAGAGCACACCAAATACGGCAGTCAAGAGTGTAATTCTTAAAATTTTTTTCCTTGCCGTTAGATTATTTGGAGTTACGCGCTGGTGAGCTTTGGAGTCGTCAAATTTATGAAGCGATTTCTGAATTGTTCTCTCTTTTTTTACCACACGCCTTCCACTGATAAGTAAGCAAAGAGCGGTGGCTAAACATCCAACAAAATAATAAAAGGCACAAAAAACCAACAAAACTTCTACGCCTTTAACATATCTTGTGAGAAATTCGACGGTAATTACCGCAAGAAAATGCAGAACAAGAATTACAGTGACCACTCTGCTTCCGATCGGATTTTTCTTCATGACCCGAACCTTGCTGAGTAACATAAAAATTTTGTAAATAAATGTGAAACCAGAAAAAAGGCAAGGATAGCCAAGGGCAAACAGCAAGCGACGCACAATGTACGGAACCCGTTTTGGTGTGTTGCTCACGATATCGTAAGGCGAAATACTTGAAGACAGCGTTCTGGTCAATCCAAGTAATATGACAAGAAATTGTACAATACTGATGTAGTTCTTCCTCGTTGTGCTCTTTTTGGTGGAATGTCTTGTACAAATGATAGCCATTGTACAACGCTAAAAGACTAAAACATGTTGAAAATGTTATCCAGTGAATTTTGAATAAAATCCACCAAGCATTACTAACGGAAGCAAGATCGATTTTGGGCTCTGCATTGGAGTAAAGTACATCACCGTCTATTTCATTGGAATTATTAACGTAAGAGTGACTCTTTGAATAAAGTTTCATATTTATGTCGCTAATGCAGACAAAAGCAAATTTAACAACACAGACATGGAATTTGAATTTGACAAAAATTGTCACCTTCCATGGAGTTGCATTATTGCACGAGTATGCATTAATGAGTCGAATTCACCTTTATATCTGACAAAAACGAGAAAACTAGACAAAATAACGACCAATTTTTTTCAAACACAGAAGTACAAAGAACTCTTGTATTAAGAAAGTGTCAAAACACCAGCCTTTATGAGATGAGCGACTTCATTTGGTATGTACTTAAAGGGGAAGATTTACAATGTTGCTGACAAACTGAATCAGGGCGTCAATATTGAAAGAGATGGCAATGAAGAAAGAT